GCCTAATGTTCCCTTGTACATTCATGTTTTGTAGTTGTTTACGTTTAAATCACAAAAGTAATGAAAGCGACATGACATTCAAATTAAGGAATGATAAAATTATTAGAAAAAGCGCGTATAGTACCAAGTAAAATCAAATATGAAGTCATGATAGAAAATCATAATGTTGAACAAATTAATGTCTCCTTACAAAATAAAAGGGAAACAATTAAAAAGACATGAGAGTTTCAATTTGATTAGGGCAAAATTCTAGCAAACGAAGAGGTATATATTTTTTTCCCCCGACTCCTAATCCATTGCCTTGTCGAAAATCAGAATCCATAATTCCTTTATACGCGACTCTTCTGAATGTCTCTCTCTTCGGATCAATATATATAATATCAAAAGGATCAAGAAACATTCTTGGTACATAAATCAACTCATCACCATCACAAGTGCTACCAATTAGTTTGAACTTTTTTTTCAAATTCAGAGGTGAAAAAATACAGTTCGACCATTCGCGTTTCTCTGCATCCTTTAAAACCCATATTTCAATACGATTATTCCCACTAGAATCACAAAAAGCTAACTTTCCCTCATAAGATATCATTTCCATACGCGAAACTTTTTTACCCCATGATGGTAATTCTATCATATCAAGCTTTTCAGATTTGACGTCGAACCTCATTATAACCCGAACACCATGTCCAATAAAGGCTTGATAATATAAAACCCCGTTGATGCATCGCCCGCGAATTATATGGCCACTACGATAGCCAGTCAAAGCTCGATGAATATGGTCGGTTTTGATCCTTCTCCATGATTTTTCTAGATCTGATCCCAATGTTAAAACCGACACTCGTCGCATGTTTTAGCACAAGGCAAGCACACTACTTTGTGTTTAGCCTCGATTGGATCGTATCCTAAAAACACTGTTAGATGCTTCCAGCTTTTATCCGGTTTAGACAAGATTGAGAACTGTCTCATTGTAGGGTTCCATATTATGGGGTATCTTGATCTTTGAAAGCAGATTAGGCCTTGAACCGACTCGGCTTTAGTGGTGAAGGAACAAAAAATAAGAGAATTAAAAAATAAACCCAGTGTGTGGGTCAAGTGTGTGAAACAGTATTGGAAGCTGAACATCAAGTTCTCCTAATTAATGCCCAGTTATCATGTTTGGAGTCGAGGTTGTCGAAAGGTGATTTTCGAAGGAGACAATCAACTGATCCCACGATTTTCGAAGTTCTAATTGTACACTTAAAATCGATACCGGACGTTGTTGGTCTCTGATTTGGTTACAAACGGCAATGCCCTCATGAGAATATGGGTTTAATTAATTAGTTTTCCCTCATGAGAATAAAATATGCTCGAGCACCTCCATCCGTTTAAAAACTCAAAAGAATATCTTAAAACTTTAATATTAATATTTTCTTCTAATTTAATTATGTGGTTAATTTTGTTTTTCTTTTTAAAAAATGAACCATTCATAAATAGACACTTGTCCAAGAGTATTTAACATACGTTCCTACAATCCCTCAAATGAGAAACGGTTTCTTTGTCTCTCTCTTACTTTTTCATTTTTTATATTTTTTTATTCATTATATACTCTTCTAAAAACTGCCGATGGAGAAGGCCTAAGAGCGTTGAAATCAATAGGATTTTCTAGTAATGTCTTATGGTTTCATGTTTCTTGTGCAAATAGTGTCTTACGGTTTCAGATTCAAAGACTTATTATTGGTTTAGATTCAAAAAGAGCGTATATATTAATTTGGTATATACGC